ATTGTTTCAAATACTATTTATTTCTTTGTATTTTTGCAGGTATTTGGTACATGTTTAATTGTTATGGGCAGTTATGTACATCTATTTCTGAGTACATTTTTACGTAATATGCCAGTTCATATGTTATCATTGACATTTATCATGATGGCACTTGGATGTCTTCTGTTCTCACTTGGTAGTATTGGTATATTATTCGTTTTCACTGGACGTCGAAGAATTAATTCACTTGTAAAGTTGAATGCTGTTGTGAACTAATACTAATTTTGTTATTTATTTATGATTACAGTATACAGTACTGTTGATAGTGGCTGCATCAATCAGTATCATTGTTATTGTAACGACATCCATTTTGCGTAAAAAGGTAATGGTTTTAATCAAGTGAATGTTTCATACTCATATTATAAACACTTGTTTAATACGGTTTGTTCAATACTTAGATGGATATGATGTTTCGAGATATCATCAAAGATTCTATCAACCAGTATACTAGGAAAAATAGTTATGCAGCATTTGTGAACACAATACAATTGCAGGTAAATTACACTTGAAAAGAAACTGTTTTGTAATTCATGTGTTTTTCAAAAGCATAAATGTTGTGGTGCAAATTCAGTCATGGATTATACTGTGAGTAATCTCTCAATACCAGTTTCATGTTATCCTGACAAAGCCAAAATACCGCATGAAAAAGTAAGTGCTGAATAACAGTTTTGTAATTCAGATTCAGATTTGTGTAGTAAGGACAGAAGGCCTACGGCCTATGTTGTTCCTTTTCTAGTATGTTTCTGTGAGTGTCCAGTCTTTTCTTCAGAGTGCCGATTGAAGGTGCGGACACCACTGCTTCGGGCAGCATGTTTCAATTAATGATGACTCGGTGTGAAAACCTGTATGCCACGGGTAGTTTGTGCGTCCTTGTATTTTCTACGTATCAAGGTACCATAGATGCTTTGAAGACTGTACAATACAGTGGACGTTATTACAGAAATATATTACTTAAAGTAGATACAAGCGAAAGTGAGACCACTGCCGCATGGGCCAGTCCATGGCATACGATTATCTGATGCGCGTTTGTTGTCCCTGACCTTGACGAGGATCGATAGTTTGCTCTATATTCAATGGCACGACTACCGGATGATTTGGCTGGGGCATAGTGAAATTTCGCTGGCCCTACAATAACATTGGAGACTGTACTATAGTTGGAAGATTATTACCATACATAGTGTTTCCTTTGAAACACATTTAATCACAATAAACTATATGTCAACCATATGTGATAACATTATGCTGTTTGTATTTGTACTTGCTGAGATGTCCTAATTGCTACAATTGTGTTGTGTTAGTTTATTATTTCTGAAGATAGTACATTACATTTCCGACTATTGTTCATTGTATTTGCACAAACCTGGGACTCCACATCACACTTGGTCTTTGGAGAGAATCGATATGATTTTCTAAATAAAAATAGAAGATACATGAAGAGATGGGTTTGTGTTTTGTTCCGATGTGGAATATCAACTTCGTATTGCTACTGCTGACTTACCTATAATGTTTTGAATTATTTGTGTGACTTCGTGTGACTTATGTGTTGCTTGGCATGAGGCAAGATCTCACAGGAAGCCGTTTCAATGTAGAGCGCATCACAATCGGACAAACCTAATCTGTGGACACGATTTTGTATTGATGTGAACGGGATCTCATCTTTGATGTTGACTACCTTATAGAGAGCTTTATTTTGTTTGTTCTTAACATCCTTTGTATTTCTTCTGTCGTCACTTCCTCTACACTGCTCAGACCTAACTACCCTATAGTTTGTATTACATTAATATATTGATCCGTAACTGAACCTGCAGATTCACATGCGTCAGTACTGTTTATAGGTAACATAGTAACATACATTAGGATACTGGTTAACGCACAGGATCTCAGATATCTTATAATATGCTGTTTGACTGCAATGAAAAAGAGCAAATACAGAGGTGAATTTGAAGTCAAATTGAATAAGGCCCAGGTAGGTAATTCAAAGGCTAATAATAGGATTCGAGGACATGGGGAACAGAATGATTCATCAAGCGATATTTGAGCCATCAACATTTTAGCCAGAGAAGTATATGCATGGCTATCATGTGAACAAGCGCACTCGTTTATACAGACAAGATACTGGTCATAATAGTAAAAAGAAATAAACGAATCGCTACTGTTCTAGTAACCTTGTCTTTTAGTTAAGCTAATGAAAGCGCTCAACAAAATTTAACGACAATGGAATTTGATTGTAGAAGAGTTGCCACAAATGTAAAATAATATCGACAAAACCAACTGACAGTGTTTCACAGTTACATCGAAGATGCTCAAACAATGTTACATTCTCATTGTTGGTTCATTACAATAGTATAAATTTCAAATTATCAATTAAACGATATTATTGAAGCTATCAACAATGAGCAAATCTTGTTTTCCATGGGACAGATTTCACTTTGTGTAACATAAGTATACCACAAACCATTGAGGCTATGTCCATCGGTAAAAACACGACCAGTAATGAAGTGATGTAAGTTAAATGACATTGGACGATCGCGTTAAGCATTTTCGCACAACCCTGAAGAAAAGAAAAATGTTAAAACTACATATATACATACTTGTTCTCCTTATTTGATTAACATTTTTCATAGAAGTTTACAGTGAGTATTCAAAGTCCAACAAATTGAATGAACACATCTAAGGAGACAATTCTAAAGGGTTCTCACCATCCAACACATCTCCATCAATATTTAAATACGTGTTTCGACAAAGTGTTATTGTTAGGAATGAGTGATTGTGGTCAGGTATCTGTCCATTTAAACCAATTAGGGTATCATTTTCCTGATTTCAACACCCTTTTTATCTTACGCTTCTTTGTACATTAATTCAACATAACTTTCCTTTACCAATAACAATGCATGTAAACTTATGTATCACTGAGTGTTTCTGTTAGGAAGAGATCTTTCAGGTTTCGATGCACAAATAAACCATTCGATAGAAGTGCTTATCTTTATTCCGTACCTCCAGTCATTTCAAGTTTTAGTTCTAATCCTGTCATGACTTTCGGTTTCCACATCACTAGTTCAAGTTAGAAGAGTTCTTTCAAGTTCAAATGAAAACCATCTCTATCTAATTATAATAGTCTAGTCCCAACAACGGACTTGACAGTTTCAAATAAAATTGAGTATTGATTAGAAACTTGATAATCAGTATGCTATTCGTGATATCCCAGTGAGTAGGAAATCGTATTTCTGAAGTACCGTGACTTAATGTATGTCACTTCTTCAGAGCAAATCAATAACCAAAGTATAGATAACATAACTGTCAGTAGTACAAAGGAAACAATGCCGAGTATTTCTAGTACTAACATCCTCGATCTAATAATTGTTACAGGATATTAATGAAAACACATTCAAACATAACCATCCTTCTTAAATTAACAACCCCAGTGAAAGATATTGAGTTAGTACTGCAGTTTCACCTTACCGTCAATCTACGACAGAAGAAATACAAAGGATGTTAAGAACAAACAAAATAAAGCTCTCTATAAGGTAGTCAACATCAAAGATGAGATCCCGTTCACATCAATACAAAATCGTGTCCACAGATTAGGTTTGTCCGATTGTGATGCGCTCTACATTGAAACGGCTTCCCGTGAGATCTTGCCTCATGCCAAGCAACACATAAGTCACACGAAGTCACACAAATAATTCAAAACATTATAGGTAAGTCAGCAGTAGCAATACGAAGTTGATATTCCACATCGGAACAAAACACAAACCCATCTCTTCATGTATCTTCTATTTTTATTTAGAAAATCATATCGATTCTCTCCAAAGACCAAGTGTGATGTGGAGTCCCAGGTTTGTGCAAATACAATGAACAATAGTCGGAAATGTAATGTACTATCTTCAGAAATAATAAACTAACACAACACAATTGTAGCAATTAGGACATCTCAGCAAGTACAAATACAAACAGCATAATGTTATCACATATGGTTGACATATAGTTTATTGTGATTAAATGTGTTTCAAAGGAAACACTATGTATGGTAATAATCTTCCAACTATAGTACAGTCTCCAATGTTATTGTAGGGCCAGCGAAATTTCACTATGCCCCAGCCAAATCATCCGGTAGTCGTGCCATTGAATATAGAGCAAACTATCGATCCTCGTCAAGGTCAGGGACAACAAACGCGCATCAGATAATCGTATGCCATGGACTGGCCCATGCGGCAGTGGTCTCACTTTCGCTTGTATCTACTTTAAGTAATATATTTCTGTAATAACGTCCACTGTATTGTACAGTCTTCAAAGCATCTATGGTACCTTGATACGTAGAAAATACAAGGACGCACAAACTACCCGTGGCATACAGGTTTTCACACCGAGTCATCATTAATTGGAACATGCTGCCCGAAGCAGTGGTGTCCGCACCTTCACTCGGCACTCTGAAGAAAAGACTGGACACTCATAGAAACATACTGGAAAAAGAGAAACATAGGCCGTAGGCCTTCTGTCCTTACTACACAAATCTGAATCTGAATTACAAAACTGTTATTCAGCACTTACTTTTTCATGCGGTATTTTGGCTTTGTCAGGATAACATGAAACTGGTATTGAGAGATTACTCACAGTATAATCCATGACTGAATTTGCACCACAACATTTATGCTTTTGAAAAACACATGAATTACAAAACAGTTTCTTTTCAAGTGTAATTTACCTCCAATTGTATTGTGTTCACAAATGCTGCATAACTATTTTTCCTAGTATACTGGTTGATAGAATCTTTGATGATATCTCGAAACATCTTATCCATCTAAGTATTGAACAAACCGTATTAAACAAGTGTTTATAATATGAGTATGAAACATTCACTTGATTAAAACCATTACCTTTTTACGCAAAATGGATGTCGTTACAATAACAATGATACTGATTGATGCAGCCACTATCAACAGTACTGTATACTGTAATCATAAATAAATAACAAAATTAGTATTAGTTCACAACAGCATTCAACTTTACAAGTGCATTAATTCTTCGACGTCCAGTGAAAACGAATAATATACCAATACTACCAAGTGAGAACAGAAGACATCCAAGTGCCATCATGATAAATGTCAATGATAACATATGAACTGGCATATTACGTAAAAATGTACTCAGAAATAGATGTACATAACTGCCCATAACAATTAAACATGTACCAAATACCTGCAAAAATACAAAGAAATAAATAGTATTTGAAACAATTAGTCCCTTTGATAAACTTCGATCATACAATGAGAAGACGTGAGACATTTCGAAAAAAACTGATCACACATAATGTACTTGTTAAGACATTTTCATGTGAAAATTAAAAGGTCAACTAGACAGGTTAAAGGTAAGTCGTATTAAAGAAAAAATATATTAAGGTAAACCAAAACAATGTGATTACCACTTTGGATAATAAATCAGTATTACCAGGGGAGGTGTTAAGTGTTAAGGACACATTGTCTTCGAATGCATAAAGAGGTTTTCAGTTTCCGTGTAGTGAAGGCTTCAATGTACCCTAATATACGTCATTGCAGGCTTTCGTACAACACTACAAAAGATGATTTGATGTTATCCTTATGACCAGTCTAACTCTGCCTGTAGCTCTTCCAGAGTTACTGCCGGTCTCAAGCCCGGGTAAAGGAGGAGGGTTGGGCATGGGGTTAGCGTCCCCATCCCGTAGAAAACTAACTCACTAAAAAAACGCTTACCAGAAAAATTTATTCAAACCATTTTAACTCTGCCCTGAAAGTTAGGTCTTCATTTAGAAGAATTATGACGCTTCATGGTGAAGGCCGAGATCCTTCGGAAGCCACGAGGACGATACACCTTCTAACAACCACAGCAAAAATTTCTATAGGTACATGGAACGTTCGAACAATGTGGGAAACCGGGAAGACCAGTCAAATAGCAATGGAAATGAGGAGATACAACTTAGCAGTACTGGGAATCAGCGAAACCCACTGGACCCAAGCTGGACAGAAAAGGCTAGCTACGGGAGAGATGCTGCTATACTCCGGTCACGAAAAGGAAAATGCTCCACATACTCAGGGAGTTGCTCTAATGCTGTCCAAAGTAGCACGAAATGCACTTGTAGGATGGGAATCTCACGGATCCAGAATCATCAAAGCATCATTCAAAACAAAGAAGGAGGGGATCACAATGAATATTATTCAATATTATGCTCCCACCAATGATAGCAACGACGACATTAAAAGCCAATTCTACGAGCGGCTGCAGTCAATCATAGAGAAGTGCCGAAGAAAGGACCTCACCGTTCTGATGGGAGATCTAAATGCCAAAGTCGGAATAGACAACACCGGATATGAAGATATTATGGGACGACATGGATTGACTGGGAGAGAGAAACGAAGATAGGGAAAGATTTGCAAATTTGTGTGCATTCAACAAATTGGTCATAGGAGGGACAATATTTCCACACAATTGTATACACAAGGCTACATGGATCTCATCGGACCACACTACAGAGAACCAGATAGATCATATCTGCATCAATAAAAAATTCCGAAGGACAATGAAAGATGTGAGAACTAGGAGAGGTGCTGACGTAGCTTTAGATCACCACCTAGTTGTAGCCAATTTAAGACTGAAGCTAAAAAAGAACTGGACAACTGGACAAACAGCATCACAAAGGTTCAATGCAGCCTTTCTTCGAGATACTAACAAAATCAACGAATTCAAGATAGCTCTCAACAACAGGTTCCAAGCCTTATAAGATCTACTGAAAGAAGAATAAACTGCTATGGAGGACGACTGGAAAAGTATCAAAGAAGCATTAACTTCAAAGTGTCAAGAGGTTCTGGGTCTAAAGAAGCACCATCATAAGGAATGGATCTCTATAGAAACACTGGACAAGATCAAAGAAAGGAAGGACAAGAGGGCAGCAATAAACAACAGCCGAACACGAGCAGAGAAAGTCCAAGCACAAGCTGAATACATAGAAGCAAACAAGCAAGTGAAGAAAAGTATTAGAACCGACAAGAAGAAGTACGTGGAAGAACTAGCAACGACGGCGGAAAAAGCAGCTAGAGAAGTAAATATGAAACAGCTTTACGATACAACGAAGAAACTATCAGGGAAATACAGTTAACCAGGGAGACCGGTCAAGAACAAAGAAGGCAGGCCAATCACTGAAATTCAACAACAGCAGAACAGTTGGGTATAGTACTTCGAGGAACTCCTGAGTAGGCCGACTCCAATGAATCTTTAGTGGAGGCCCGCAATTTAATTTTGTCCTCATTTAAATCGAACGTTGTTCGTTGAAGGGCTCACTATATTAGTGGCCCGTGGATCTGACTCCTATTTAAATCGTACGGATGTTTGCTATCGCCGACTCTCGTATATTATCGTCGACTTTAATCACGTTAGTCAATAACGGAATCAAATAAGTCAAATAACGAGAATGGACTTTTGAATACATATACTTTGTATATAAGGCGAATGGAATAGCAGGAAGAGAAGCGATGCAGAGTGTAAATGGCTGGTAAACCAACTCATTTTAAGTCAGGCGTTAGCCAACATTTATAGGCAGACAAGAATAAGCTGCAGACATGTGATGAGAAATGGGATAAGAAGTGTACACTCATATACGCTCACATAAAAAACAATGAAGACTGGTAAGCGAATGACTAACAAGGTCAACATATGACTCAAATATCGTTCCCCATAAACTCGAATACTATTATTAGCCTTTGAATTGCCTAGCTGGGCTTTATTCAATTTGACTATAATTCACCTCTGTATTTGCTCGCATACACACATTTGCCTTTCTGCTTTAAATTCACTCGATGTCTAATCACTAATTGGATCAATGTCAAAGAATTCTGTGTCAATAATTACCGATTTATCTTATTGTCTATAAAATATTTAAACGGAAAAATTTCAAAAGACTAAAAATAACAATAACCACAACAAAAAAAAAAGAAAGAAAACGGAAAGAAAACTTTGTCCAAGTTCATTCACACTCATTATAAACTAAATATTTCACTTACCCCTTCAAATAATCTAATATCATCATTATGTAATTCCATTTTATTATTATTATTATTATTTCTTCTTTAATGTATTTTTACGATGTAATTAGTATATAATGAGATGAACTATGATATAATTAGAATTATTCATAATAATCTATTATCATCTCATTATTAATGATGAACAGTATTTCAATGTTTATCGTAGTATATTTCACTATGGTTGAAATGTTGATCTTATGAATGAAGAATATTCATTTCAAGAAATTTTCTTCATTTTCTATAGTTATATATTTGAATGAATAAATCAAATTCAAGGAAAAGATTATGAGATTACTCACTTACTTACTTACGCCTGTTACTCCAGATGGAGCATAGTCCACCGACCAGCATTCTCTTTGGTCTTCCTCTTCTCTTTATTCAGTGTTGAGGATTCCAAGAGATGGCTTGCATTGCGACACAGTCAGATGTCATTCCGAATCGAATAGATTTATAAACAATAACCTATTAACACACATATATTGGTAATTTCCTGTCTCCATGCTCACACTAGCATCTGACGTGCATTTGTTCCAGGTTCCAGATTGTTAGTCACAGAATGACTGTCAACAGTTATCCGCTAGCCATTCATACAAAGGGAGCTCAAGACCACTGAGAAGTGATCAAAATATGATATTTAGGCATTTCAGTGCTCTCCTACATGACGCGTTATTAAGTTTAAGACTTGAGCAACAGGCTGTAAATCTACATATCTTTATTTAGTTTGAACTAACCAGCAAGCTTCCCTATAAATCTTTGTCGAAATCTTCACACATGTTTCAACTCAAACTTACTCTATCCAGTGTCCGAGTCAGAGACTTCTTCGAGGCTGTTTGGACTACTGGTTTTCTCCTATAGGACTAAGATATCAACATTGATTGACCGTTCTTAAGTAACCGCTATCATGTTTCTGCAATCTTGTAGTGATGGTCGAGCCCTATGTGACTACCACTCTCAGTGATCCAATATTATGTTATACTCTGTTCCGTAGTAAACAGCTTTCACCAACAGTAGATTCTTATACACTGCCTATTCTTAAAACGAATGTTCAATCAGTCGTCGGTTTTTCATGTTTTAATTGAGGTTGTTACAGGTGGTTTCATTATTCTAAATTTTAAAAAATATAGGCGGTTAAGCATTAATTCGCAAGAATTTCATACTGTGACAACATTCGTATACTTATATAGTTAAATATACCCATTACGTACTATTTCTGTTACTGTGTTGCTTCGAAAGACCGACATAATTTCATTAAAACGAAGTGCCACAGATCGAATCCATTTTCGTAATCATGTTAAACTTTGATTGTCAATTAATTGAAATAAACATACTGTTCGTATTTTCAAAGGAAATTGAATAGTAAATGATGCATATTCCATTAATGAATTTGTGAATTAAGATCTCACTGTAATTACACACCTTTTGGTTTTTATTGGCTGCATAGACAAAGTTGATCTCTGATGAGAAACTTCACTTTTGCTGTTCTAGACTGAATTACGGAGGAGTTTTATAAATTTTCATCGTACATCTTCTAAAACAACTCTAACACTTAGAAGGAAAAGGATAAATGATGACGGTTTTCCTTCACGGCTAACTCGAAAAGATATCAAATCTTTCAAATCCATTTCATAAACATAAATGTTGTCCTATTGATTCGCTGTAATTACAATCATGTCATCTAGTGATTTAGTCTGGATTTAGTCTGCTATCTCTCATATTTGATTTCGCTCTCACGGCTAATTGGATAAAGGAGGTTTAGGAGTCGTGATGGTTGAGATTTGCACTGTTGAATACTATTAGCAAAATGTGCATCAAATGGCAGTATACTACCGCCGCTCATCATGTTTTTCTCTGAAGCAAAAGAAATAGGAACACAGCACTTGGATTCATAAACAGGGGCTTTTTCATGACCATCATTACAGACTTATCGTAGTTAAATAACTATTGAAAATCAGTAAGCACTCGGTATCTGTTCCGTACAGACATGTGACTCCTTAGCAGTGCTCGTTCACTGGTGACCAAACACCAGACATTTGGTCTCATACACAGACGTACATTTATCTCGTAATACAAGTAGAGTGGTTTTAAATTACGGACACTGTTTTCTCTCACTCTATCCAAACCTGTTTATTTGATATATTCCAGTGTTTCAGTCCTAATTCTTAGCTATTCGAGTGAGTTCAAAATCTTTAAGATGATCGGAGTTTTAATGAGTAAAATAATCAAAATTATTGACATTATCGTAACACTATTTGTCAATAAGTTGTTTTATTTAGAACTAGTTCGGATCCTTCTAATTTA